GCCCTTTAACCTGTTCAACCCGGAGGCCCCCGCAGGTTGTTTTTTCACGAAACTGTGTCTCAGGGCTTCTTAACATTTAAAAACCTATTAATGTCTCAACAGGAAGAAACTCAGCTAACTGACGATATGAACCATTTTTACCGAAACAAAACACAAGTCTCACAAGAAGTGTCTAAATGAGCCCTGAGCAAAAAAATGCTAACAGACTTAGCACAGAACTCTAGGTATAAATACCCTTATTCATGGGCGTCGCAGCCATTATATGAGGGTGGGACAAGTCCCCCCCACTTTTTCAAATGATTAGTTTAGACAATGTTCAGGAAATGGTTAATACAGCGAAAATCAAAGCTGACGATCTCTTGGTTTGATATGTTTTCTCCCCCAGACAACATGGACATAAGAAAATTGTTTTCAAAGAAGAGGAAAGTAAGTCATCAGCTGATAGCAGTTAATCAGTTAACAGTGATGCCGTCGTCTCACTTCTGCAGAGGAGTTTCGTCTTTATGTCATGATAGAGAGATACAAATACTGAATAGTTTAGATGAGAAAAGGCATCGAAATGCCAGGTTACTAGTATTTATCATGTAAACGGGGAACATGAATAACCCGATCTCTCTGTGTTCATGTAAACACCATATCCCCAATATGATCATAACCGGGATAATACTCATAAACGGCTTACTGATGTCAGACGCAGTCAGTGTGTTTTACTGGAGCCTCAGTTCGATAAGAGATTCTTTTCTGAGTTCTTTAACTTAGGTACTCTCTCTCAAAATGGTAATGTGCATTATGTTTTAATTATACTTCTTATCATTCAGAAGCTTTTTGTGTGTGTTTATGTTTTACTGAGTGCTTATAGGCTATTTCCATCCCAGTATTCAGTTAACTATTTATTTTCTGTGCACATTACATAGACTATTCTACCTACTGCTTGGGACTTTGAGTCTTCAAAATGTCCAATGTCACAGACTGGGACTTACTTTAGAGTCAGTTGTATTTACATTCAGTATGACTTGTTATGATTCAATGTGAAAGAGTATACTGCTCAATAAATAATTATCACTTCACCACCTCTCTTGACATCTAGGCACTTGAGAGTGAGTCAGAGGCAGAATACAGGGACAGTGGAGAGAGGTCCATTGCTGAGGTGAGGGATGAAAGGGAAATGACAGTTGAGAGTAAATTGTGATGTGGACTCTCATCCCAGGATTTTAAGGAAATCAGTGGGGATATTGAACAGGAAACATTTCAGTCAAGGGGCATCATATGACCAATATAGACAGAAGAGCAACATTTATTTGAACATTTAAGTCAATGATATCATTCCTAGTTGAACTTAACATCCGTATGGAGTCAGATCAGTCTCAATATTAATAAATGCTCACAGAAGGATTCACAAATGCATTTTGCGATTTATATATAAATGACTCTCCACAACAATATCTCTCAATGCACTCACACATATTTATTGTTGTATATAAATGTACAAAAAATGGGCATTTAAATTGCTTTTTATTAATTCAACGACAGCTCTGAATTAATAATCAAACTTTCCAAAGTTTCCTTTCTTTACTACTGCATGAAATTACAAAATGTACCCATCATTTTCCTCATGCTAGTATAGCCACATAAAAGTATCAAACCACCTGTTAAAATGCACCAGAATACAGGAAATCTATATATTTTTTCACCCCCCGTTAAAAATGTCCCCCCCACATTCAGGATGCTTCCTACGCCCATGCCCTTATTACATATCGGATCTGCACAAACAAGATATCACAACACGGAGCTTAATGGAGCAAAAACGGGACATTGTCTTACCTTTGCTGTTGTTCTGATCAAAAGTCGTGTTCAATGGCATTAAAATGATAAAAGCGTTGCTGAAGGTTAATCCATAGGTTAATCCAATGTGTCTGTGTCCCTTTGAAATTATTACTGATAATCCATCATTCCATTTTATGTCAATAATGGACTTTTCATATCAAGCAAAATCGACCGAGGGGGGCCAGAGATATGGAAAATCCACCCAAATGACCCCAGAAGGTTTTTTTTTGTTGCTAAACCTCTCTATAAATATAAAATGTCACTTGTTTTTGCATCAATCTTGATACAGGGTACTTATTATATGTTATAGTTTGGATTCCTGAAGCCTTTAGTCTACTATCCCATCATTCAAGGGTGGTTTTCACTATAAGTAATGGACGGACACTATCATTTACATTTTTTTACTATGTTCAATCTGAATTTACTTTAAAATAAAAAGATTCTATATTGATTCTGACTTTTCTACATCCAACTCACATGTTTATCATTGCTTTGAGAAAAAAGAATTATGAATTTACCCCTTTTAGAAGTGAAGATATAGTAATTTGTTGTGGGAATGTCATTTTTAGCCTGAGGCCTGAAAAACAGGCTCAGGGCTTAAGCAGTCTCATACAATTGTGCACATGTTAAAAGTCGTTTTTTAAGGTGAAAGTGAATGTTTGTTAGTCAGTTACTTCGACAATATGTGTTTTTCGAAAGCACTTTAAATCGCTTTGTGTTGACAGGTGCTATGTACATAAACTTGACTTGCTTTGCTTTACTATGGCATATGCCAGACATACTGTAGCGAACGTGAATATGGCTTAATTAAATGAATCACAGCTAAGAGACATTGACAACTAATTGGGTCTGTTGTTTATTATTTCACATGTCATTAATTGAAGGAAGATATGGACTTTAATTGCCCCACATGGCATTAATCATACCTTTGAAATGACATAAAGGTTACAAAGACCTACATTATGTCAAAACAGGTAGGAAAAGGGATGTATTGGAAATGGTCGCAGTGACTGTTGCCAACACGTACCCGAGGGAATGTGAGGTGAGCTGTGCAAAGCACCATCTGTGCTGGTGGAGGAACCATGATCACCGTTCACAGGTGTTGAAGCATAATATGGCAGCAATCTGGTTCTTTTTCCTGACAAACCCAACAGCTAGAAAACGCCTCCGCTTTTTCTGTTTATTGTATATATATATTATAAACCTCTACATTTCTGATCTATTTAGGGTGTATTCTGAATAAAAAATCCTTTGTACAGCCTTATTTCTGCAGTGGGGAAATGTAAAGCGTTACAGAGCAGACAAGGGTTAAAGAAAAACAAGAAGACTTACCTATTGTGTAAAAAAAACAAGCACATATTAGTACAAATAAAGCAAATAAGTACAACATGGCAAAACACAATTATCAGTATTTTGAAAGAAAGAAATGGATATTATGGAAGGAGTCAGTTACAAATTGTAATTAAATTGTAATAAATCAATGTGTATATTTAACATGCAGTAAGTGTATATTGCATTTTTCCACATAGAGTGTTTCTGCACAGGGTTTTGTTTGTTTTGGCTTTTTTTTGGTTTGGTTATGTGAACACAGCAATTGCACAGATATTAGGGGCAAAACAAGTGGGCTGAGATCGCCTAGAAGATGGTCTTTGCTCGACTTAACTCTAGTTTTTTCTTTGAACAATTGACATGCAAGTGTGTGGCGGTATGCACCCATCAGAGCGTGTCTCTGACGTCAAACTCTTGAGGCGGCACAGCTTTTTAATAACATGCATCAGGACATGTTTTGTAGTCGCAGTTTATGCTCGCTGGAGCTGGATATTTTGTCCATTTAATAAACACTGTTATATAAAGCGTGTATACAATGAAAACAATAAGCAATACACACTGCGGGTGCTCTATAATTAAGAGGAAAAGATAAAGTATTTTGAGCCTCAATGAAGCAAGGGGAAAATGCAACAATTGAATCAAATTAATCCCTGAATTTGAACAAAGGTCTAAAAATGCACTTATTTAATGTTAGACATTACAGTGGGTCCTTTGAAAGGAATATTTATGATTTTCTTTTTAACTTCATTGCTCATTCAAAGTTTCAGATCTAGGTGGACTTGTTCTCTCTGCAGTCCTTTGAGATGTGCCTTTTGAAAAAAGCCTCTTCGATATAAATAAATCTTGACTTGACAGCTTTGTTTCTTGTTCTCGTTTTAACTTGTGTTCATGTCCAGTTCCCCCAAGGGCTTGTGGCCATTCACTGGCAAGTAATCCATTACTGTCATGTATAAACTTGTTATATACTAATTCCAGTAAATTGCGGTTTGACTAATCTAGAAGGTATTTTAGCCTTTGAAGACCATTTACCTGCACAAAACACTACAGGAAAAGAAAACCCAGAAAAGCAAAATAGCCCTCTCTTTAATTTGAAGAATATTGTTGTTTTCAAACCTTAGAGTAGCCAGGTTGCTGAGATGGAAAGTGCTTTGTGGGTGGACTCAAGAAGGAGCTTTTAGCATCCCAAACTAATCAATTCTTCCCCTCCATATGGCTGAATTTTCCACCAAATGTTCACTAACATCGCTGTTGTTTTTGTGATATCTCTTACCCTGGGTAGGTAAGAGCATATAATCCCTGGGAGAGGTAAAAAAACAAATGAATGATTGTATGTAAATAGTTAGAAGTACTTACCCTCTTTCGATGACACAGCTAAATCATCACAGGTGGAGCCACCTGTCTTAGAAGTGCTGTTGCACGGTGATCATCAGTGCGATAAAGGTGTAATGATTAAGCTTCATCTGTGTGTCAAAGTAAATACGTTTTTATACTTTTGCATCATATGTATACATCTATTCCAACATGATAGGACTGTTATTGATAGAGCTGCAGTGCTGCTCAGACTATATTTGGCAGCTGGTACACTAGAGAGAGCATGCTGCTGAGAGCGTCAGTGTTTAATGCAGTCATTGAATCGCAAAGCAAAGTTAAAAATAACCGGATATTTATAGATCTCATTGAATTTCTATTTTAATTGCTCAAATGCCGAATTTCAAGTGTTTTTTAATAGATGTTTATCCTGTAAAGCTGTTGAAGTTAATGAAAGTTGGAAAAAGAGACACCTGACAGTGATTAAAGTGGCTTTCCTACACTCAAAAAACTAAATCATTGGCTTTGTAGATATCACAATAATAAAAAGCTATATTACCTTAATAAAATCTCTAAATATCACCAAAGTAATTGTTTGAGTCGGACATACCAAAATAAATGCTTACAAATCCAACAGTTAATTTTGTCTTAAATTATTACTATCATTTAAGTTGATGACACGAAAATAAATGAGTATTTGACTAACAAATTATATTTTTAAGATATCCTTAATATCTTTGGCAAATTTCAGTCAAAATATTTGAGAATTGGCTAATTATACTGATCAGTTTCAGGAACAGCAATTATTACTCATTCCAAATCAATATTCTTCATCTTTAACAACAATTTAAGAAATTGAGTAAATTACACTAAAACGTCATGAGTGGACCCCATTAACAATCGCGCGCAAATGCAGTGTGCTCATGGGAAATCTACTTTTCTATCTGCGCCACATGTGGCAACTGCAACAAGCAAGGAAACACCACGACGAGAACCACCAGGAAAACTCCCTGCAAATCCTGGTAAGTAGCCAGCTAGCAAAAGTTAATGAAATATTGACCCTGACTTTGTGCATATACAACTTTATGGTGTGTAATTATCTAAATACTGTCACACTTGCAGCCATGCTGTCATAGGTCTAGCTAGTTCTCTGTCCGCTTCTACACACGCATGGTGGACACAGTCAACCAGGTGAAGTGAAGCTAACGTTTTACTCAAGTAAAAAGTAGAAACATTAGCACCTGCTTTGTCCGCAGTTGTTGTCTTAAGTACCTAATCAACCAGCTGTCTGTATGTAGCATAGTTAGCTGTTTGTTTTAAGCCCCTTTTACACTGTTATTCAGAAATGCTGTAGTAAAGAAGATCCGCCATTACGTCGACTTTTTAATACTTAACCAGACAATGCCAGCATAATGCTGCCCCAGTGTGTGATATTAGACAGCATGCCGGCCTGACTTGTAACACAACAGCGCCGGCGAATATGTGTGTCTGCATGTCCCGCCATGCCGGAATAACGGAGCAACAGTCTCGCCTTGAACAGGCTGTGAAGGGGGCTTTGCCGCCACACCCGGTTACTAAGCAACGCTTATCGTTTAGGTATCCCTGATAAGGAGGCAGTCATATCATTAACTAAAACTAGCTAGATCTGATCGATATGGACATAAACACGAGTGAAGTATAATCGGGAGAGTGATCAGGTTCTGCAAACTGAGACACGCAGTTCTGCATGATCACCTGCAGCTCTGCCGCTGTGAGGGGACCGGTGAGCAGAGCACACGCTTCAAGTTAGACCTAACACATTTAGCAATCTTATCTACCTCTGGAAGTAACCGAACTAGTTATAAATATGTTTATTCTTTACTTTTGGGTCACTCATTACTGGATTAGCGAGCTGCATGAGACTAAACTGACGGGCTGTCAGGAGAGGGAGAGAGGAAAAGAGAGCACCCTGTTTATTTCTCCCGTGTTATTATCCAAAGTTACTGTACATTTTTGAATAATGTAGTTAATCTACTATTAGTTGTTTGTGTAAATGTATTACTTATATTGTTGATTTTTGTAGAAGCGCCGATAAAAGTATGGATAATACAAAGATAAATGCACCTTGTTTGTGTAAGGTGGCTATTAGTTTATTTGGGTGATTACTGTATCGTGCGAGTGATTTCAGATAACGTCTGCCTACTGCATCCGCGGCCCAGCAGCTGTTACTAGTCTTGCCTATATGCTTATGAAACTGTTTCATCTTTATTATAATAAGGCATTGCATTTTCTTAAGAGGAGTGGCCTACCTGCCCAACTTATGTGTTGTCATATTTATGAGGGAACACTTGATGATGGCTAGAGCAAGTAAAGTTGAATTATTTTGTGAAGCATGTTAAATATTTTCAATATTTGTTTCACAGCACCGACTGCGCTAACGGAGAGAAGTTGAACGAAGATAACAAAACAGAGGAGGTAAATTTCATTATTTTATTAAACACTGAAACAACGTTGCCAACATATTAGTTTGCTTTATACAAGTTTAAGAAATCGGTGAATAAGCTAAATGAGTTGCACCTTGATTTCGACCATGTTTGAGTGCAAAGGCCAGGAAGCACTTGTTAGAAACATAAACAGTGACTATATACAAATATCTAGGACTTGATAATACAAACTGTTACTAATTATTATTATTATATACTACTCCTGCAATTGAGGATCCTGGCTCTGAACACTGCAACTGCAATCGTTTTTATTGACTGTTTTCCAAATGTTTGTGCAATTACGGTAGATGTTCCATTAACTATAGTTTGGAGTAGATGTAATTATTAGCATCAATGAGTAAATATAATTGGGTGTCATTTTTAAAGCTCTATATGATAAAACATATTAGTCCAAAAAGTATGTAGGTAAATGGAAGTAGCATTAAACCAGTCTGTTCGCTCCATGTGATAACACTATTTATCCTCACTTTTTTAGGTTGCAGCTTATGGGATGGCAATGTAAGCTCTGCACATGTGTGGCTTCAGCGAAAGGGTCACTTCTCAAGCACTATCGATTGAAGCACGGTACCTTTGGAATCTGGGAGAAGATGCGAGTGCCTTGATCAAGGACTTTGAGGTTAGTACTATGGCTGAAATGATTCCTCAAGTAACTCGATTACTAAAAATTATCGGGCAGTGGGACAGACATACACGCACTCAGTCAAGCAGACAGACAGCGTGGCACAGAGGTAAGACCGAGGCCGATACAGATGTGCAGTGATCAGTTACAATTATAGTACCCTTATATGTGTAGCCCAGAAGACGTATACCCTTTTTTTTTTTAGTTCTTTGAAATAAAAAAACAATAATTATTAGTTTTTGCATTTCAGAAAATGGGTTCTTTAAAACTTAATGCACTAAATGCAAAATAGTTTTGACATATTATTGTATGCAATTTAAACAATAACAATGTGGATTTTTGTTGTTGTTCATTTTGAGAGGCCGGTCTTATTTTCTCTTTTCTATATTTACTATTGCTCTTTTAATAAAGCAAAATAATGTATTATCCGATTAATGAATTCATCGTTAGAATACTCTATAGCTGCAGCCCTAGTTAGTACAATAGTTTTCAGGATTTTTAACAGTGTTAGTTTTGAAGTTTTAAATAATGTAATCATGGATGACTGTGATGACCATGAACATACATAGTGAGTGAGCAGTGAGGAATTGCTCTTTGTGTGTCTTGTAACATGCAGGCTGAAAGTAAGCACTAACCAGTTATCTTTTCAATGTCTGCAGGATGCTGCTGATGCACCTGTCAGTGTACAAGAGGAGTTGGCAGAGGAGGTGATGAAGATGTACCTGCTGCAGAACCAAGATGGGTCAGTCGATGAACCTACTGATGTAGGGATTGTGATTGAGGGCATCCCTGTCCTCAGAAGTCTTAGGGATCTTAGCAGAGCCTGCTGCTATCTGTTGGGACTAACCTATGCCTTGGATCTGAGATACCCCAAGAATCTCAAATATAGTTTTGAGGTATTCCAAAAACTACTGTTGGAGCTGGATCCTGGCAACCTTTCAACCAAGGTTCAGAGACTGAAAAATTGCCTACATATGTAGTTGCCGACTACTGTTCAGCAAGATGCTAAAAGGTACGAGTTGAGAGTTCCATTGATTGAATTGCATTTTGGACTGGTATTGTTGTAAAGTGTCACTGTTCTTGGTGCATTTCAGTCATATGCAGAGTTCAGTTCAGCCCGTTGCTCCCATAGCTCAATGGAAATGTTCACATGCTCATTGGCAAAAATATACCTGGTTGAAAGTTAAGCTAGATAAAATGCCTAAAAGTTTTATTGCTAAATAATCAAATTTGAGATTTCCATTGATGCTAAGATGTCTCTGCTGCAATTGGTCTTGTTGCATTTTACCCGTGTTTAAAAGGACCGCTTAGTTATATGCAGAGCTCAATTCAGCTCATCGTTTTTATAGCTTGGCCATTGTTACCAGGGCTCTCCCTTCTTAGTCGATTAGTTGACTTTATTTGTGGTTTTGGTCGATGAAGATTTCTTTAGTCAATTAGTAATATTTTAATGTATTTTTTTTCATGGTGAATGACTTATTTGTAAGAAACGTATATCTATGAGTGGCCGTTAGGGACATTATTCAGAAATACCATTCACATACACATGTGAAGCACTCTCATACACACAACTGAAACCAAAATCATTTACAAACATATGTAAAAATCTCTCATACACATGTGAAACGCTCTCACACACATATGAAACAATCTCTTATACACAAATGAAACGCTATCATATACACATGAAATGCGATTTCAGTATGTTGTGTGAGAGGGATTTCAGTTGAAACGGAAGGCATCTCAGTTGATAAAGGAAGTCGATTTCAGAAAAGCAAACACAATATTATGTCCGTTTGCGATTGTTCCATCATGTCTGCTCAGCAGCATGCACAAAGCTTAACTGAGGCAGCAGCGTTGTTAAATAATATCCTGGCCTCAGCGGGGTGCACAGTCTCTCCTAAGGGGAGCTGTAGTGGGCCATTGCCTGCCGCGGGACGGGAAGAGGGACGATGCATGGTGTTGAGGCCAGGATATTATTTAACAACGCTGCTGCCTCAGCTTTGTGCATGCTGCTGAGCAGACATGATGGAACAATCGCAAACGGACATAATATTGTGTTCGCTTTTTTTAAATTTGCGCTTCTTCGCTGTTTTTTTTAAACGACTTCCATTTCAACTGAAATCCCTCTCACACAACATATCGAAATCGCATTTCATGTGTATATGATAGCGTTTAATTTGTGTATAAGAGATTGTTTGTGTGTGAGAGTGCTTCACATGTGTATGTGAATGCTATTTCTGAATAATGTCCCTAACGGACCCTCATAGATATCTCTGGTAAACACAAGGATTTAAAGTGGTGTTTTTGTGTGATTCTTTGTGAAGAATATGTTGATTTAATCGATTAGTCATCAAATGTGTACGAGTGTTAGTCGACTAAGAATGTATTTTGTCAAGAACAGCCCCTAATTGTTACAAATGTAATATGCAAACTAAACCAGGTTGAGACTTAATGTGATGTGTTATACTGGTCAAATTTGAACAATAAATATGTAATTAAAATGTCAATGTGTACAATTGCTCTTTTGGTTTTATTAGATGTATTGACCTCAGGTAAAGCACTCCTGGAGTAAAGGGTAAATACAGTTAAAAAAATAAGTAAATGTAACACATATATTTATATAATTAATAGTCCAGTTTGAATTAAATGTAGTTAAAAACATCGAGTACATTTCACACATTTGTTTTGTTAAATAATAGTCTCCTTTTCAGTTACATCTACCTAGCATTTAAGTGATATCTACTAAAAAGAAATAGTGGTTTTGGCTTAGGGTTACTATTGCATTGACTTAGGATTTTAATTATATTTACTCAATTGTATATGTTATGGTACTAAATGTAGTTATTTAGACCCACTTGATTTTTTTACTTACATTTACTCAATTCATAAGGTAAATTTAAATGATTTCACAGCTTTAAGATTGACTCAATATTTTTAAGTGTAAAAATGTTTCACCAATTAAATTGAGTACATCATCGTTTTAGTTTTTTGAGTGTACCCTCTTCCTCTCCTTTTCCTCTTCTTCTTCTTCTTCTCTCTTGTGGGGGGAAACAACAATGTAAAAAAAAACTGGATTTAATTTGAAAGTGGCTGAACACACTGGATCTGAGAGTTCAACCGCTGGTTATTCAATCCCCTGTCAATAACCATACTGTGAAGACAAAGAAACATTCTGAAACTAATCAACAAAGAAAACTTCAAATACAATAAAAAAGTCAAAGCACTGAATATAATTTAGAGTAGACAACTGCACAGTCCCTCATTACAAATACAGATTAAAACAATTGAGATAAACCACAGCTGTGGACCTGATGAGTGTGTGAGGGGGTAATGAGTGTGTTCTCAAAGACCCCGTTTTCAAAGAGGCATGTCATGCGTTGTTCGTGGATTTGGAGGTTGTTTAAATGATATATGTAATTTTTATATATATATATATTGTGAATGATCTGTACAAATAACAACTCCTCATGATCTATAATTAAACCGAGTCATTTTTCACCCTGTTTAAATGTCGTTAATGCTTCCTTTTTTCATTCTTTACACAACTACTTTCAGCCCTTTTTCAATGTAACACCATGAAAGCCTTTGAGGATTATCCCCATGTTTCTGATTCATTGTGTCTCTCTCAACTTATGATGCCAGGCTTTTTGACCCGCTCTCAAGTGTGGGCAATTCAGAACTGGCTCAAACACTTTTGCCCTTGGTCGGATGCTCACAATGAAGCCAATGCGGATGTGCCAAACACATTTTCAGTGTACAAGCTCATCTAGGGGACAGTAGTTTGCGTATAAACAAACACAAGCAACCTCAAATATCCACTGGAGGGTGGCTCTAAAGTCAATCACCATGATCGATTACCAACTTTACACGCTTTACATTGTCCAGTTTTTCATACAACCCACCTGTTGACATTAAATTATGATTCAAAATTCACCCAAGTTCTGGGGCTTAGTGCCCAAACAGAGGACCTGTGTAATTATAGCCCTGGACCTTTTGCCGCATGTCATCTCTTCTGTCTTCCCGTTTCAATTCTATCTCTAAAGGCGCTGTTTACCCAAAAGAAAACTTTTAAAAAAAAAGTTACGTGGTTCTAAACGTAGTGGCCACTTAGAGTGACAGTTGGGTGCTGTATCAGATTGCTAGCAGCCAGCTGTCTGTGCTACTTTTAACCAAAGTGCCCTACAATAAGTGCATTAAACCATGAATATACAATCACAGAACAGCAAGAAACCAGCAGGTATAATTGCCTCAAGTTAGCCAAACAATTGTAAGTGCTGGTGTATCATCTGGTGTATCATCTTCTTCCTTGTTTGTGCTAAAGTTCTTTCTTTATTTGAAGTGTAATGGCCAAGGAGCAGTCGAAACATGTGGATTTTCAGTTAAAGATGGAAAATATGTCGTCTTTCTGCTGTCTTGATATCACAGGGTGAGCTCGTTCCACCATTTTGGAGCCAGGATAGCAGGCAAGATAAAAGGCTGTTGAAGAGTACCTGGGTCCCATTTGCAGTACGAAAGTAAAGAGCTGATTGGCCGATGCAGAGCAAATTTGACTGGCTGCATTGTTTTGATTTAACCAAGTCCATTTCGGCATCACTTACGATCAACCTCTCTTCCCACTGTGAAGTTGGGTGTTATGTGTAGCTGATATGGTGACCATCAGGGAAATCTAAACCAAACAATGCTTTAATCTTATTCTATAGGTGACTCCAGGGTGACAATATTTCATAAAGTCTATGCAAAATACCCTCAAAAAGACAGATAAATGCGCCATCATGCTGGGGTGGTAATGCTTCCCTGCTGCAGGCCCTGGAGGCATTGTGATGGTGGGTGAATGAATCTAGCAAAAACACTGACAACAAACCTGGAGGGAACCTGCTGCAGTCTGACAGAGATGTGCCACTTGGGAAAAATATTTATTTTTATAGCAAGACAACGAGTCCATAAAAAAGCCACAGAGAAATCTCTCCAAAACAACAATGACCTCAATTCAACTCAGAATATGTGGCACGGCCTAAAGTGTTCAATCACAGCCCTCATTATATTCTCTTTATATACCAACCTAACCACATGTTTACAGGTAAAACTGAATTTGTTTTCACAGCTGAAGAAATAATGATAAGCGTCAAATTGTGTCTGCAAACGTGTGATTTCAATTAACACATTGACATGTTATTACCTACATTTTCCTGAAGCTTTTGTGGCACTTCTCTGTGTTCTTGTTTGACAGCAGCTGGCTCTTCAGCTTCTTGATTATCACTCTCATTAAACAATTAAGGATATCCAACATTGTGCTGCAGTTTAATCAACACGGCTGGGTAAGAGGACCCTTACAGTACACACAGGCATTTCTGTATGAACCTGACTTTGTGCAGAGGCATTATCACGGTGAAACAGCTGAGGGCCTTTTCCAAATTGCTGTGAAATACTTCAGACTAATTTCTAATTTAGTATCTCACCCTTTTGCATTTATATCCAACTGAGCTATGGAGCGTAGTCAAATCCCTTAAAGTGGCCCTTTAAATAAAGTACACCAAAGAAAATGGACAGTTTCTCAGTGGTGTAGGAAGATCTCTTACCTAATTAAAATGTAGCAATACCACCGTGTAAATATACTTTGTGACAAGTAAAAGCACTGCATTCAGAAGCTTACAGTAATACAGCTTACAAGAATAAGCATTCAAGTATACTTAAAGTGTCTTGAGTCAAATAACTTAATAAAAAGGATGGGACATTTTAGAAAAATGTATATTATAGTGTTGGATTTTTATTTGGTAAACAGGAGTACTTTTAACTACATACTGTCTTGCTTAGTCCATTATTAACAATATTCATAATATTTACATTTATTTATGTTTTATATATTCATCTGTGAATTGGAAATTAACTTTTTTACCTTTTTTTACATTTAAAAAGGTTGTGGTGTTGTAGTATAAAGTAGCCTTTAATGTAAATACTCCAGTTAAATACCATACAGTAAGTCAAGGCAAAGCATATTAAAATAGCACATTTTAACAAAGGGTCAAAGCATAATAGTGCAAAAGAAACAGATCATAAAATGATATTTAAATACATTGAATGAACAAAATAAGACCGGTGTAAAGTAGAAGACTAAGAGTAACAGTTCAATAAGATGTGAATAGTTATTTGATTTAATAACAGGGAGCAAATTAAAGTCTTTAGTCTCTATTTAAAAGAAGTCAGAGTTGCAGCAGACCTGCAGTTTCCTGGTACTTTGTTATAGAGTAATTAAATACATCTATTTTGTTATATTCCATCAATGGATTGCTTGTGTTAATATATATGTATGTACCTTTCCTAGAGTACCAGGCTGCAGACAGTCTGTATTCTCTCTCCAACACAGATGGTATATTAATGATAGCTTTGCTGTACTCTTTCTATCGGGTGACAAATTGCAAACCTCGTTACTGTACTATTAGGTTGACTGTAATGCCTCATAGTGCTTTAAATATGAAGCATTACTGTTTCTGTTTATCACCGCACAATTGAGAAATGTACCATGTCACATGAGGACTATATCCCCAGTTTGAACATCTGCCTGCACAGCTGTGTCCGATCCGGTTGGAGCAAGCAATACAACACATTGTGGATGTGCAGCACCATGAACCAGCTCCTCTATCCACAGAGAACCACTCCAGCTGCATTAATGGCTCCAAACGGCAGTGGCAAGTTAAGTGTTTTATAGTTCTATAACAGGCTTACGGCTCTGCAAACTAACGCCTGTTAAACCTCCGTCACCATGCAAGAATATGGACATTTTTCAATTAAAACTTCACAAGTACGTCCATATTACTCAGATGTATAAAGGTCAGCATTCTTCACGAATCTTCAGCACAGTAAAGTCGTACATAGCGTGATAAATCAACGTTAAAGGTGCAGCACCTGAAATAAATTAAATGATGTCATTCTTTAATTGCCCACCTCAAGGTGTAATTGTTGTGTGATTTCTCTTCACAGTTATTGTTGTAAAAGATGTCTACCTCATCTTCGATTTCACCCTGTATTTTTCTTAGTCTGACATTATTGTTTACAAGCACTATGCTGCAGATATGTTTCCTCCTTCATCTTTCACAAATGAGGTGTGAACATGTCTGCATTTCCAGCAACATTGCGTGGTTGTTAAAATCGTGTACAGTGCAAACACAATTCACAAAATCACACTGGCTGATTATTTTGTTATATTATTGAATATTGTGGACCTGGATTCTTCAGAAATAGACTTTGCAGGATGTAATTGATCACATTGTCACTTGTATCACCAGCATCAATTGAAAAAACACTGTGACATTGGCTTCTAGCGGAGCTTTATGGACATTGTAAAGAAAATGAAATACCATGTCTCCTTCTCTTACAGTTAAAGTCAGAGACATTGTCTCTGTGCTTGAGAGGGTGGAGGCCACAGTGAAGGACGCTGTTGTTTCCCTGACTGTGAAGGGGGGGGGGGGGGGAGCTGCCATCAGCTGGCATCAAAAAAGCAGCTGTTAATGAC